AGTATAAAGTTCCATTAGATTTACACTTACTATAATATTTATAATTTGAACAATATAAAAGCATGATATTAAATTTGAACACGACACAATATAACAAAAATAACTGTTGCTAATCATATAATATTATATGTGCAACAATGTGGAAGCATGGTCTTTTTTAACAATATACACTGAACACAGAAACTTACTAAGTTCATGATGAAGATCTTGCAAAAATTACAATATAATTGATGTTATTCTAATGTCCTTCCATGGACCATGACTCTAACATTAATATATATGGAGAGAATAGCATGAGAATAATAAATAGTGAAAGAAATAAAAATAAATTTGTACCATTGAATTTATCAGGTAAACGGTCACGATCAAATTAAATTTTAATAAGCGACAGTCAAATGTAAGATGACAATCTTAGAAATAAGTGGACATATCATGGTCAAATATATATATGCTTTGGCCACGTGTAAATAAGTGGACATAATACACGTGTAGATTTGATCGTCATCATAATTTAACTCCACCCTCTTTTAGCAAACCACAAAACTTAAACTAATCCTGCGAATTAAATTAAATTAAATTAATGGGCACTTTTTTTTTAGCTTTTAATTTTAATTTCGTGGAACTAATATGAACAATCATTAGAAGAGCTAGATTGTTGTTAGCACGGACTAAGCCAAAATAAAGAAGAAAACAGAGCACAGGTGGAGGCCAATAAAGCTAAAACATATTTAGCAAAAGAGTAGATGAGGAATTTCATAAAGTCAGATATTTTAGAACTTCAAAGCATAAATATAAATATGGGGACAATGGCTTTAGACATTATAAAGCCATTATAAGATAAGAAACCCTACTGCCAAAGCCAAGGGGTGGGTGGGCCATTTATTTTTAGGATCTATAAATTTATTTCCTTACAAAACAGCACCAGACGGTAATAAAATTCCCCCGCTGTTAAAAAATGGTTTTACCGCGGGCCTACAACTGTTATTTCACAATGTTTTGAAAGCTTCTTCATATTACTGGGCTTAGCATAAAACAATACCAGGATCTCTAATGCCACACTTTTGGTGACCAAATAAGATCTTCTATTCCATTTTTATGTTTGTTTCATTATGTGTTTTATTCAGGTGGATGAGTGTCAAGAATACAAACTGCATCATAATGTACACATATTTCATTTGTTTTCAAATCAATTGGATAAAACGTATATAAATTCTGATGCATGTCAATTAATGAATGGAATGTTAATATGCGCATGATGATTATTATAAGAACAAACATTCGATTCAATTACTGTCGTCAATGCATTCACTCAATATTAAATTTATTGGGTGAAATGGTGAATGATCTCCATATGGTGAGTGAACAATTCAACATGTTTAACATACCTTCAAAATCAGAAAGTGATCTCAAATGCGTTGACATTAATTTTTTTTTTTTTTTTGNTGTTCACTATAGTTTTTTATTACCTATTTATTTATTTTGAAAAAGAAAATAATCGATGTCAAAATAAAATCATGCAAAAGACATTCATAAACAAATCATAAACCGAAAAATAATGCAATTTAGAAACCAATGAAAAAAGAAGTAAACCACAAATTAACTATTTATAAATAGTGAAAGCATATTTGTAATCATCATAAAATGGCTCATAATTTGGAAGGGTCAGGGTGACTTTTTTTCCTAAACATTGTATTAAAAGTACAAATTATTATTATTATCATCAAGAATTGAAGAAATTAGCATATCAGAAAACATAGGACACTATATGGAGTTGTACATTTGTTGAAATGAAATGGGGGTCTCATCTCAGTCTCTTATTGAAAGCACATCAATGATCAATAGTACTCTTGGAAAGGGACATTTTGGACTATGTTTTAGCTCAAACAAACATTTTGCTTACTCCCAACAAACTCTTGAATCACACACACACAAAAAGAAATGCCATTGAGTGGTAAATTGTATAATTACCCCATTTAGTACACCAGATGTTCTTCTTCACCCATCTACTATCCACACAAACAAATGCACCACAAATGCACAAATCATTTATCACACTCCAATATACCAAAACTCATTATTCAGTAAACATAACTGGTTTTAATGTTAAATAGCCATCCAAGGCCCCAAGATAAATTCATCTCATCATCNTCAATTTGATTGATCGAGTAAACAGCACAAAGCCATGATGAAAATAAACCCATCTGTTTTACATCTCAAGTAAATTCAGGAAAAATTTACAAGCATGAGTCTTCAAAAGACAAGTGATGATCTTGACACAATAAATACAAAACACATATCGTGACGTCTTATCTTGTTCGGTATTCGTCATTTTCGGTCACAATTCACGTCACCTCATATAACAGCTCAGCCAGATTTGAACAGGAGTATTGCTTTTGAGTCCAGATAGAAGTAGACAAAGTGATTTGTCTCGTGAGTCACATAGGAACCTAAATGTTTGTTTGGTGGGTGAAAACAAATTAGTACAGGATCTCCAAGAATGAATATCAATACCAAAACCATTTCTTTTTACATTTCTATCATGTTCTTTTTCTACTTTCAGTTTGAATTTTATGGACAAATAAAGCATCTTAAAAATTTCTCCACTGGACACTACTAAAATAATACCCCACCAACCAGAAATTGTTACAATTATTTCCTGAAAAACATGATTCACAAATACAATAGCTGGTCGAGAATAATGCCAGAAAAGAAATTGAGAAGAATTGACATAAGTTACTGAGTTNCTCACTTTCAGGAGAAAAGGATGTAGAGAAACAATATTGTCACACTCACTACAGCTATTGTGTGTAAAGAAAAATTCCAATAGCTGCCCTAAAAAATATGATAAACTGTCATCTGCCTAAACTCTTAACTGAGATGAAAAGTAAATCAACAGGGATAATCATTTTGTTTCCATATTAATTAAACAAAATGAAACATAGCACCAAGTCCATGGTGACGTTACATGAAAATAAACATATATATATATTTGGTCATTTCAAGTTTATTATTGACATATCGATTTATGTCGTATGGTCAAGATATATGCTAGGTTGCAAATTATGAGTGCTCATGAATTTCAAGTTGTCTTTACCACGAAAAATACTATAGGTTGTAAAGTCTCAAAGTAAAAAGAAAATGTAAATTACAGGTTACAGCCAAATTTTTACCCAAAAGAAAATGAAATCAAAATGAAACATGATAACCTAATGTGAAATTCAGGAATAACTTATGTGGTTAATCAATAACATCAAACCAAAACAAAAAGACGTGCCATGAAAAACAAGGTTCAGATAAAAATGCTCGGAAAACTATTTTAGAAAGAATGTTAAGTGCCAAGGCAATGGTATGAACAAAATAAGTTAAGTTATACAACTAATTATTGAGTGTTCACATGGAGAATGCCTAAACTAGGTCAAATAGAGAGGGAACTAGTAAGAGAGCCAAACCAGATGAACATAATTATTCCCTTATTCTAGATTAATTACTATATCTCTCTCTCTCTCTGAAAAAAGACACCACCATACCACCATTAGAGGCACAATGGTTAACAATGGTTAACTCACGAGGCTTACTTATAACAAGTTTTTATTAAATTTGGAAATTCATGTTGAGAAAGAAACTCTTGGAAATAGGGAAAAAATAAATAAATTAATTAATTAATTTAAAAAAAAAAAAAAAAAAATGATAGTACAAGAATTGCAAGCAAACCTTCCCTAGGCAATTTTATATGCATCCAGTTGGAAACCCAAATATCATCTTCAGTATATCACATTAACAATGTGTGTTAGAAGTAGAATAAGCCTCATATGGCATCACACTGAAACCTCAGAAAATGTAGTCATCACAATATATTTTGTGCATCCGTTAAGAAAATAAAGGCAGAAACACCTTCTTTCATCATTTGAGCAACCATTTGGTCTTAGCATTTTCTTATGATCTCTGTGTATTCTGAAGCGAACAAAATTAAATTTCGCTAGAGCACTCAATCAACGCCTTTATTGTCGTGAGATTACGAAAACGGGCACAAAAAGTTTGACATCAGAATATATTCTTTAGAACATGATGAGAACAAAAATATATCTCGGACCAACATTTCTTGATAAAAGAAAAAAGTTACTCAGGCTCGAAAAATGGCAGGAAAAAATAACTATAGCACCTTACAAAAAGTCAATTCATAAAAAGAAGAACTCTATCCCACATCCAAATTCAAACACCAATTCAACTGGACCTTGAACAGAGAGAATACTGCAAGTAACTGAGCTTTGTAATTTCACTAAGACATAGAGCTTTCAAATAAATCAATCAAGCCATTTATGAACCCCAAATTCTGTTAGTTTCGTTTATAGGTGTTGATTTATCATAGAGAGGATGATAAATTAAGAATTTTTAGTTGCGGATATTGTCAGTAGTTCCTGCTTAATGTAAATCTTTTCAAGAGAATAATACACACACATTATATAGTAAAACTCTTCAGCATTTTATGTGGAACCATTCCAGGACAGATAAATACTGAATCCCCAAAATGATAACAGTTGTGTATCTTTGACTCAGTTCTTCAATTCCAGTGTTTTTATTTTTCTTAATTATTCAACAAAGTATCTGAAATTTCTAATCTTTAGCTTCCACCTATTAAAGCAAACATACTTCACAGAAATTTTATTGTCTCTAACTTCTACTCTAGAGTTAACCTAACCCAGGGAATGCTGTATCCCAAATAACTTAATTCAAAATTACAAATACGCGAAACATAGAACTTATACACACATAAAACAAACGGCACTATGCTCTCAGTAGGACAGTATTATAACATTAAACCAGCCAATTCCTGATTGAGACAAAATTGAGAGACTAGACAAATTTTGAAGTGCTCACTTTAAATGAGTGTATATGTACGTGTATTAGATGCCTGCAAGAGTGCAATTAACCACAATTCCATAATCATTTTGATCCATGACTCTTTCTTTCACCGAGCTCAGTGATGTAACAACTAACAACAGGCTAATTGGGTGATGTAAATAAAGTTCTCTAGTTAACAACATGAATTTCCATCCATCTATTTTTCCGAAATCCACATTAGAGCCACGACATAGTAATAAAAATAAGAAAGGATTAAAATAACAAGACAGCAATTATCTTAGTCCAAATTATATGCACAGATTGAGACCAATAATAACTACAGCTTTTGAAAGTTTCAGTCCATCACTACAACATTCAAGATCATAGGCTTAGGTGAATCTTGAAAGAACATACAAAGGAAAATGAAAATTGAATCAGCTAACAATGAAGGGCAAAATTAGAAAAACAAGTTTCGAAGTTCTATACCGAAGTTTTTGCCGACGATGCAATGCCAAGTTGGGCCATATTTTTTGTCGAACATCTTCTTTATGTGCTCTGCCACATCCTTCTCCACATTAAAATTCTCAAACGCCTACAAGAGAACACAAGATTTTTGTGTACTCGAAAAATAATAAAAGAAAACAAAATCAAGGGAGCTTCTTTAATTATTCTTTTTGCTCTCTGCCAGGGAGAAAGAGAAAGGAGAGTTTACAGCAACCGCAATGTCGATGGCTTCTTTCTGCATGTCCTCGTTCATATCTGCGCTCTTAACGATGACTTTCTTGCTGGGATTCGATCCGGACGAGGATTTTCGATCGTCGGAGGAAGACATAAGCGGCGCCACCACTGCACCGGCGCCGCTCCTCTTCGTCTCTTCACTCATTTTTCCGCCTAACTCTCACTATATTTCTCAAAATTAAGATTAAAAAATGGATCTTTCCCAAAAATGAAATCTTTGAGCTGGAGAGAGAGGGGGAGAGAGACAGAGTGGTGTGTGGTGGACTGATTTGTAAAGGTAAAGCTGGTTTTTTTGATGTGGCAGACGGACGATTTGAAAAAATTAAAAAAAATTCTGCTTTTTTTTTACGGTCGGTACAATTTTTTTTTCGTTTCTACATTTTCTTTGTTTTTTTTAACCTTTGACAAAATTTTGACTAGGAAGGAAGGAAGGGCTGTAAGTATGTTGACCTTCTGTAGTCAAACATTCAAGGTCGTCGGAACATCCGATCCAAATAGGAAAAAAAAAAAAGATCTCATTTTGGATAAACAGATATGCAGAAGTGCTAAATATGAATATATGATCGATACGTGCTTCCATATAATATCCCAACAGTGATAAAGACTCGATAAGAATATTATGAAAGGGAAAATAAAGTCTATTTTGAAAGTGTGTTACTATTCAATTTGCTTGTCAAAGTGTTTTCTTTAGCAGCTCCATTGTTAACATTTATAATAATAATAAATGAGGATTTATTTTAAAAAAATAATCCAAATCAGAATAAGCACATTTGTTGTCCCTCTAAAGTAATCATGATAAATCATCCCAATATGTGCTTAAAGTAAAAATAAGTGATTATGACTCAAGTGAGAACTGAGAACAAGTAACAATTGTGAGGAACTATAGCAATTGTCCAGGAGTACAATTCATCTCCAAGGCAAATGTCACAAATTTTTCTACCCATCATGTATCTCTGCAAGTAAATGGCATTTTTCTGTAAATCCCATTATACAAACTCACATGTAAGGTTCAAATTCAAAGGGTCAGAATCAGAAACTACCTCCATATTGCCACAATACATTTCAACAACAAACTATTTCCAAATATTCTAAGGTGAAAGAAAGGATTTTATAAAAAAAAAATAACAATAAATGAATAGTGCATCATATTTTCCTTGTACTCATCTTCTCGAACCAAAGGAAAACATAACATAATATTGACATTTTAGCTACAAACGAAAATCCTTCAAATATTTACTCTATTTTTTCACCAAATTGCACCTAAACCTCTTCATCCGAGTTATCCTGCACGACCCGGCTCATTTTAGCCCTCTTCACTTGAGGAAATGCAGCTTGCTCATCCTCATCCTCCGTATCCTCTGCAGCCAACGGGCTATCGCCATCAAGCAATGGCCCGTTTTCAGCCCGTTCGCCTTCACTGTTTGACTCATCTGATGATTTATGATTCTCGGTAACATTCAAATGTTCCGGATTCTGATTTTGTTCTTCCTCAGTGTCTTCCCTCAGCTCATGAATCCTGAAGTCCCTAGAAGTGCTGCGTTTTGCATGCCTCAATAGATTGACTTTGGTGATCTTGCTGAGCTGGATGAGGTACTTTTCGTGGTCCTCAATCTGAAAAATGAGCTCGGGTATGCATTTATTCTCCCTCTTTATCTTGTTCACCATGCCTCTAGTTTTGTTGCTTTCTTGTTGGTTCTGCAACAAATATAATACATAATATTGTTGACAATGCCTCTATTTGGTAGTTTTTGCTTGAAAAAAAAACAATTGCTTTTAGAAATTGATAGTGGTGAATAAATAGTAAAAATTGTAGGTATCAATGAATTTAAGAGGTCTAACCAGAAAGCACAATAGAATTTACAATGCTAATTACAATCTAAATAACTACGACGAATTAGAAGCACAAGTAGGCATTTGAAACAGAAACTGACTAGTACTTTCCTCAGTCAAAAGTTGTCAATGACTTTATCACAGAATCAAAACAACTTCTAAAATATATAAATTATTTTTTGTTTTAATTTTATAACTGACATGGAATTTTACCTTTTGCATCAGAGCAACAAAATTATAAATTGGTGCTGTTAATCGCCTGCAAGTTATCTCCACAAGCTTCTGGTACTTCGAGCTGGGTATAACTTGCTTGCACCCCTTAGGAGCAATCCGCAGTTTCGAAATTCTCGCCAAATTCTTGTAGAATTTCACTGCCATCTTCAGTAACTGTTCAGCTTGAGGATCTACATTTCATTAAAATACAATTAAATGACAAACAGTAAAACCAGAAGCTCAACGCCATAAGTAAACACCTTCCATACCCTTTAAGTTCATGTCCACAAAATACGCTAGCACCTTCACAACGGCTTCTGCCCTTGTATATAGTGTCTCCTCCAAGGCTAATTCCATATCCACTTTGCCTCTTTGATTGAAAGAAATGCCTTTCTGAAAAATCGTATAGCATGTTTTCAGCCTTATCGTGATCCAGTCAATGTCGGCAATGTTTGACTCGACTAGCTGCAGTATAGTAGAAGCTATCGCAGCAGCTGTTGACTTATTTATAACGGGGAAGATTTCGGATTTGTCCACAGGGTCAGAATTTTCTGATCCTACCACCTTAAGAAGTTCAGCAGAAAAATTTTCGGCAATAACAAAGTCTGCTGGAGGTGAGCTGAAATTAACAGCCATAAAGACCAGACATTTTGCAACTTTTGAATTCGAAATGTGGCTGCATTTGCATATTTGCATTGCCCAGGATCCAACGAGGTTCCTTCTTTCTTCCGGCAATTTGTTGCCAATCATAAGTACTATGTCACAAAGAATCTGTGATCATATACATGTATTATCTCTCAGTTACGTTCTCCACACAGAAGAATGAGGAAGGAACGACAAAAGAGACCCAAATTTACATATTACACGGCCAAAAAAAAATTAAGGTTACTTTGAAGTATTCGTTTTCAATGGGAATTAATTATGAAGCATCATCTGAGTTTTAGCCACCAATAGAGATAGAAAGAGCAAGGGAGAGAGGGCAAACGGGGGGAGGTAGGGAAAAATAAAAAAGAACAAACAATTATATTTCAAAACTATAGACAACCCAACGATATTTGTTTCTCTGTATAACTTCATAAGGGGGTATCTCATTAGGAAAATACATGCAATTCTGGATAATAGCTCATGTTTTTGGTAGTTTGGCTAAAACTTAGGGGCAGCTTTTGTAAACATTATTAATTGTAGGTACCACAAGGTCACATGTTCAGTTTTTCATGAGAGGGCAATGGAAAGAGAAAAAATCATGTGATGTGAGCAATTTATGATGAATAATGGTTTGCAGTCCATATTTAGTTTGGCGTTTATTCTTCATCATATATATCGCAATATCGGATGCAAAGCACTACACAAAATTACCTCAGCTTCACGGAATAAAGAAAGCTCGAAAAACTTGTCAAGCAGTGGCTTTACAATCCTCTTGATGAACAACTCTTTGCTTCTCGTGCTCTGGTCATCAATATCTTCACCTAATTCACACCACTCACTGCACCCAACGCCCACAGGAGCAGTAGGTATTGCCGAGATCAAATCATCAATTAAACCCGCATACTTAGACGAACTCAAGCTTATCTCGATTAATCTTTTCAAACAAAGCAAGGCCAGATGAACATGGTCTTTTCTGTCCTCAGTGTCTTTCCTTCCCTTTGCCTCTTTCTTACTAAGATCCGACTCGAGAGTCAGAATTATACTCACCAATGGCGGCCCGAGAAGCTTGATCTCACCATGCATCAATATTTTCAAAGGGTTATCTTTATCCGCGAAGGAGAAGAATTTTAGCTGACGGGAGCACATGTGTAAAACTCGAGAAAGGATTTTAGAATCTGACTTTTGAGCCTTGCCAGAGGAAGGTTGGCTGTTTTTCTGAGAATTTGTGTCATTCTTAAAATTATCTGATATCAAAAACTTCAGCGCAAGTTGCAAGCACTTATGGATGCTTGCAGTTGCTAAAAGAGGGGTTCGTTCGGCAGGAGATTTGTTGGCTGCCAATGTGGGTTTATCAGGTGCATCACTACTAACAGTGGGCTGCACAGTGGCTCTTTTGGTAGCATTGCTATTTCCAACATTAAAAGTATTTTTCTCGAGGGACTCGTGAACATTGATAAACCGAGAAAGTTCTGTTTCTAGTTCCAATTTCCGCGCATTATCAGCTTTTGCCAACTCAGCAACAGTAATGTTGATCACAACTTCAATAATGCCCAATAGAAGTGTAGCAGCACACCTCCTTTTTTCTTCTTCTCCAGGTATAGAGCCTGAGTCTTGACTTTTGCCCACAAAACCTAACTCACATGCAATTGGATTATTGGAATAACCAATGAAAGTAGAAAGTGTCTTAATGGTGCAAATCTGCTCACAATGGAATACATCTCAAACCAATAAATACAGTGAACTTGTAAAAGCAGAGAGTAAAGAATCACAGGGATCTCAGTAGTTATTTTATATTCTTTTCTGTTGACCATATGAAATGAGTAAAGAAAATTTCTATACAAATTACAGAAGACAAAAATTCTGACTGATATGTCCAATGATCGTGCTAATAGATTACCTTCCAAATTTCCATTTCTCAAATGCTTCCTGACCTGTGATAAAGCATTGGAGAACGACTCTCCAGACAAATTTCTCCCAGCCTGATTGTTTTGCAAGTATCATCAATTGATACCAACGATTTTGGGTGAACTTTTACAAGTAAAAACAAACAATTGGGATGGGAATTCAACTAACCTCATTATCCTGAGTGATTGAAAAGCCAAAACAAGGGAGCGAATCCTGAGGATGATCGCTTTTATTCTGTGGCTGAAGAAGAAGAATCCAAGAGACACAAAAGAGAAGGCAGTCCAGAGGCTCTTCAACACAGACTTTTCCATATTCTAGTTTCAGGCATTGTTCGATTCCTAAACAAAGGTCAGCATCCTAGAACGTCATAGGAGTTAGGCTAATCATAAGGAGTTTCATAAACTGTCATTAACTACTCTTTCAGGAAAGTAGAAAACTAACATTATTTGCTAAATATCAAATAGGTGATTGATACCTCTCTATAATATCGCTGGAAATGAGGCAAAAGAAAATCGAAAATGGCGCCGGCACTTAAGGGATCCACGAGAATAAGCTTCATTAAACCTTGATACAAATTCACGCGTACATTTTCCTGGAAAATGCAAAAAAGTAACTTTGAGACTTTGAGAAGGTAATATTTTAGTTCAAATTTTGTATGGTGAGATCACATCACAGCTTCATGTAGGCCTACCACTTAAATTAACAAAAAGATCAAAAGCATCTAATCTTTTAATTCCACAAAATACAAGGATTACAATTGCTAGGCACCAAATTATTAAAATGTACCTGCTGATAAAGGCATCTTTGCAGTAAACCACTAAGCTCTTGGAAAAGGTCTCCCCTAGCTAGGCGAGGTACTTCAGTCTGTTGGCTGCAGCTGGCCTGGCTGCTTGATTCTTGAAAAGAAAAAAGGCCATCATGTTTTGATTGTTTTTCTGCTAGAATCAGGTCGAAAATTGCACGAACTGCAGCAAGACGAACTGAATTTTCTCGTCTAAACATAGCCTTTCGTAAGACCAAGATGCTGTAATCCTGCATATTGAAAAGTGACACGCGGGGTTAAGTTAATAATTTCAACATTTGCAGATATAAAAAATAGAAAAGAAACAGATATAAACTTTTACAGTTAGTGGCCACGACAAAAAATAACGATGCAATAGCAAAGGCCATTGACATAGCAATAAGGTATTTGGCTCCACGGAAATTGTGACACAAGTACCTTAAGATCTCGACTAAGCTTGATGAGAGGAAGTAGAACAGTAACAATATGATGGGAAATCCTGTCATCCATAAATGCAAAATAGTCCAAAGTCTCTTTTAAATGAGACAAATGATCCAACATTGAGTGTGGATGGACTTGGACCAGATATCCCAGCAATCTACAAGGAAAGTATGTAAAAATAAAAGAACTGATCGATAATAAGCAACACAAACCACAAACTGATAATAACCTAACATTAGCACCTCATTATAGGGAAACATTGCTCAGGCTTCAAAGAGAGGACACGGAACTTGCACTGCTCGATTATCTGATGAATAGAATACGCTCAGTAAGCTCATTAGAAAACACATCTTTTGACATATATGCACACCAAAATAGTCATTATAAAGCCTTTACATCCCATGAATTTAGCCTATATATATCCAATATAATGTGCACTTCAAACAAACGTCACTGTTGATACTAAATTACTAACCTCATTTCTTGACATTTCGTGCACTTCAAACAAACATTTCAGCACCTGAGCACCCAGTTCCTCGGGGCCCATCAAACCATCTGATTTTACACTCTCTTTTAAAGCCCCCGCTTCTACTCCAAGCAAGCTGAATCCCAACTGTACTATACTTGGTACAATGTGCTCTCTCCCGTAATGGCTTGCGTTCACCTAGAGAAAGATAACACAAATCAAAAGGAAAAGACCAAACAATCAGCAAATCTGCTAAAAATCATAAACACCTATTTCTGGATAAATTTAAAACCACAACAACAATTATTGTAATAATAATAAAACAACACCAATATAACACACGTACAAACAAAGAATGATAAAAAGGAAAAGAAAAGACAACGAACAAAACTTGAGACAGATAATCAGAGAAAGTTCTAAGGCAGCTGATGACCGGGATTTATTCATCTATATCTGATCTACTCATTAATTAATCATCCACATTCACTCAGATTTGTTAGGATATATACACTATGGCGTTAAATTTTTTGAGCTTCACAGAATATAAAAAGGGAAAATAGCTTACAGCTTTCAGTATAGCCTTTTCCACTACTCGAGCAATCTCCAGATATTCCTTCCTCAGGTCATCTGGTAGCCATCTGCAAACTCTGAAACAACATATTGCCGCACCAACAAAGTCTCTTGGGAATCAATATATAATTAACCATGAAAACCATTCATTCATCATGTTGAACACCATTAGTCTGAATCATATAAACATAAAACTGAAAGATCATTTTCGGAGACAAGTATAAAGATAGTGTCGGTTCTCAATTTCTACCAAGGTACTGAACATTTTATCAAGTGTAATTACATTACTTGAAACTGACAAACAAAAAAATTACTTTCTCAAATGTAAATGCACCACCAAACTCCCCAAACTAGCCCACATAATAATATGTGGAAAAGAATCAACACAAAACTCATATGTCAAAGGACTCAAAAGCACACGACATTAGATGCCAAAACCATAACAGCAATAGTAAACTAGTCACTCACTTCGCACACTTAAACTCTTTATACGCGTTCAGCAGCGCCGTTTTCAAGACATCAATTGCACTCTCACCAAACCTCCTAATTCTCGCGATCGACATCAAAACAACAACTGTGAAATGATTAAAAGCCCGTGAGTCCAATCTCACCAGGCCCATAACCTCCTGCCCTAGAGAAGGATCCTGCTTCACCGCAAAATTCACATGAAGCAAAACTGTCCCCTCCACCTGCTTCATAATCGACCCGCCCTTATCAATACCCCCAAAGTACAACACAATCCCTTCAATCACCTCCCTCTTGCTGAATCCTTTCGCTGCCAATACCAACAACTGATAAACCAGACCAGGCAAATCCTGAATTTCAACATCGTCCCTCATTTTTGCGAAGGTCTTCTCCAGAAATTTCCTCCTCCAAGCTTTACCGATGAAGGGAGAAAATTCCCGGATGGTTTCCACCATTTTGATCAGTAGAACCTTACTCCATTCGCAACTGAGTAAATCACACATAACCGAGGCCACATACTCGGCAGGCTTATCGATTACATTCGAGATTCTGACCAATTCAATGCACTTGGGGAGGAGAGTCAACACATGTGCATCATCCAGATCGTAGATTTTGGGGAGATACGAGACGATAGAATCAATAATTTTAGGTATCTCCCTAATTTCAATGGTATCCAGGTGCCCTGCAAATTGCTGGATTGTCAACTGAGAGTTGCGGTCATGTGGTGTTTTGTGGGAGACGAAGAGAGAGAGGTAGGAGTGAATTAGGTCAGGGAGGAGAGAGGCTAGGGCGGAGGAGGGGTGGCGGGAAATGAGGGAAAGGAGGGCGGAGACGTACTCTGAGACGGCGGGAGAAGAGGTGGCGCGCGAGTGGAGGAAAGAGAGGAGGACGGCGCGTGAGGAGTCGGGCGGGAGCTGAGAGGAGGTGGGGTTGTCTTGCTGCGCGAGGGATATGATATCGGTGTCTGTTAACGGCGGCGTTTGAGAGGGAGGGTGGAGGGCGGAGGTGTGGCTTCGCGGAGGCTTAGCGGCGGGATTCATGACTGTGGTCCGGGTTTGAGGGAGAAAAGGGCGGTGGCTGGCGGTTCAACTGGTGTTGGATTTGGGCGGGAAACCAGGGAAATGTATAAATATCCGTAAATCAAAAAGAGAATATGATGAATCATGTTTTTCTTTTTAACTAGTAAGAGCATCTCCAATGTGGCTTTTGACTTCATAAAAATTCATCCATATCATCAACTTTTGAAAGTGTATTACTAATTTATTCTCCAATGCATCTTGTCATGAATTCTTTCATGATGAGGTGGATAGCATTTAATGTTGACAATATTGAACACACTTTCTAATATCTAACACCATGTTAAACATGATGACTAATCAATTCATTTTATATTTGATTTAATTTTTTATTGTTCTTGTATTAATGATTATTTTAATTGGTCCACATATACAAATAACTTCATATCAAATTGATGCATTGGAGATAATAGTTTGATTCAAATTTCTACTCTTTTAACATTATTCCTACATGGATTAACATTACAATCATTGATTGACATGTGCTAAAAATCATTGTCTTTCAAAGCTATAACATTGGAGATGCTCTAAGCATCCGTCAATATACAGATAGGTTTTGATATGGAATATCATAATATAACGGTTTTAATGGATAAGAAGAAATAAGTTGGGGAATAAGGCTAACTATGAGTTAGGACAATGTCATAATGGTATTGCATCCAAAGTTAAGCACTAAGTATATCTCCTGTATAAAAGAGGCGGTATCAAAAAACACATTCTTTCTACATTCAGTATTATACTCTCATATTGCACTTTTTATCTCTGGCGAGTGGTGACTTAAGCATCGGAGGCTTGACGTCGAGACCCCTCCCAGCGTTGAGTTCTTGCAGATACGGAGGTCGTCCGAGTTGAAGGAGCCAGGGTGAAGTCCATTTCACCAACATTGGCGTCGTCTGTGGGAACCCGTTCAAAAAAGCCAAAAATCGACCATAGCAAATGGAGTTCTAACAAAAAAATTTCGAAAATTTTTCAGCAACCTTCTTCACTTCCGTCGCTGCAGCGGCTGCCACCTCTACCGCTTGCGCGCCTGCCAAAGTGCTCCGAACATAAATTTTTTTACGGCACTAGGTAGATTTCATTGAGGTGGTTCTCCCCTTAAAATTTCAAGCGAAAATTCCACTAGGAAATACTTCAATTTTGTTGGTCAACATTATGGATCTAGGAAATTTCGGTCAATAGCCTGCCTTCAAATCCATTTTTCCAACGATCTGCAAGGGCTATCAAAAATCTGAGGGCACCACCGGAATCTCCTCGCCGAGATGCACCTCCAGCAACTCACCTTCACCGCCTATTCCTATAAAAATGACATTAATCGATGATAGAATTAATGATAGAAAAGATTGCATATCAAGTGCAGAAAGAGAAAATCTTGCCTATGGTAAGTTCATCTTCACGGTTTATCCTAAATTTGGAATGTCTATCCAAACTGCAAATTTAGATAAAACCTCATCTTTTATTCATCATTTTGAAAGAGACAATTTAATGAACCTGGAGACAAGGTCTTTAGTGGTCATATGTTATAAGTTATGCGTTGACTAAGAGTCATCATATATAGATTATAAGAAAAAAAAATCTTATATTGAACTTTTTCTTTTTAGATATAGGTTCAGCAGAAGAAAAAACCTTTTGTGAATTAACATCTCTAGAAGAACACTGGACTATTGCTATAGTTAAAGGAAAAACTCTAATAGAGAATAGAAATTCTATGCGAGTTAAAGAAAATTCATTAATTATAAAAGAACCAAGTAGACAATCTATTTCAGACTATCTGACAAATATGTCTGAAAGAATAGATAATTTATCCGATAAGTTAAAACAATCAACATAATAAAATATCTGACATGGCAAATACTAAAAATGAAATTTCTAGTAGGACCCATGTGAGGGCACTACCAGTACGAATAGCATCGAATCTTCCATGGTGAGTGATTGTTAAAGTTGCTCTAAGTGTTTCTGGCGTTTAGTAGAGATTGGGGCTACCTCAGTTTTGTTATGGAGCCATCGGATGGCTCGACTTATGGAGTCATCCACACTTATTCACCAATAGTGTATTGACACGTATCCTACAATAAATACAATTTGGACAAGCGTCAATACATTAAGTGGTGGATGACTTCATAAGAAAACCATCTGATTGCTCCATAGAATTTTGGGGGGCTACCTAAGCCAAAAATGCATCATCCGAATATCATATTTTTAGAATACTAATTATTACAAGCAGATAAAGTTGACTTTGATTTAGTAAAACTAAAATAATAAACAAGAAGTGAACAAGTGTATTGACACGTGTCCTACAATAAATACAATTTGGACAAGTGTCAATATATTAAGTGGTGGATGGTTTCATAAGAAAACCATCTGATTGTTCCATAGAATTTTTGGGGCTACCTAAGCCAAAATGCATCATCCGAATATCATATCTTTAGAATACTAATTATTACAAGCAGATAAAGTTGACTTTGATTTAGTAAAATTAAAATAATAAACAAGAAGTGAACTATATAAATATATATACTAGAGAGAATACGGCCGTGTACAATAGGGCCAGGCCCACGACATGGTCTTACAATAATGTTTTGTGAGGTTAAGCATTTTCTGGTATTCTACTATATGTAAAAATACTCCCATTTAATGGTTTTGTGAACTCTTCCATTTAACACTACTGAGTGTAAAAATATAAACATCAAGGCTAGAAATAATATCACACAAACCAATTCATGACTAAAATTTCTCATGCACTTAAAAAATCTATTCAAAACATGAGTCATATGTACATATCAATAAAAGAATGTAGTATCAAGTAAAAATCTCCAGCTAAATTTTTGGAAAACTATTCTAAAAAAAAAAAAAAAAAAAAAAAATGAAAGGAGTAACTTGAAAAGGTTAAGGCTCATATAAATTCAGATAATTTGACTATCATGCATTTATTTCGAGATTGAGCAAACACGGGCATTATTATTGTTTGAGCAGTATTTTAACTTCTGCAGAAAAATCACAAACATGAACAAACCAATAATACTAATCTCCAACTTAACAACTTTTACCAGCAAAATAAAGCACACTCTTTAATCAATCATCAAGCACGTACTTGTTATTTCTCAAGAATTCTTTTTAAACATGAATAAGAATAATTTAAACTATTGAGGAAACCATATAATACTAATGACCCACACCACTCTGCACATATTCTTTTCCAACACTAATAGTCTAATATGAAGGTAATGCATAATTATGCAAGACTGGAACACATAATATCACTCCTAACAAAATATTAACAAAATCCACAGAAAGACCAGTACAATAATAATGTTAAAAAAAATCAAAAGAATTGTTTAATAGAGCAATATGAACAAAAACTAAAAATATGATCACTTAAGAATTGCACATTTCTAAGTAAATTCTAAAAATATTATACAGATATTCAACTGATTTTAATTCTCATATAGAAAATGTTCGCACCAATCAATGCAAAAATGTCAAGTACATCGAGAGGCTACTAAACAAAACAATTATTAGACAACATTATTAATGTAAAATCAAAAGCTTTAGATTTTCATGGCTAATTACATAAGAATCTCAGTCACATCCAACCATAATATTTAATTATAAAATGCAATCTTTCATGCTGATAAGATACATGAAAGTTCTACGATTTTATGTGTTCTCCAAAATGAAAGCGTTGAAAGAAATATTCAGTCTCCACAATAGTGAGCAGATCCTTTTTATATCTTATCAAATGCATATGTTTCTAAGAGAACTTGTTCTTGAATTTGATTGAACACAAAAAAAAAAAAAAAAAAAAAAAATCCTCATTAACTCAAATACATTTAGGTCCTAAATTATAATGTCATTAAAAAATATAAAAGTAACATTCAGAACTGAAGCAAAAAGGAATTAACACATCCTTGTATGTGATAGTAGTTTCAACCATGGTTGCAGATGCAGAAGGCATTCAGTGATAGATGGTTCTACAAACATAGAAAGTGGAGCACAAAAGAATAAAAACAAATCTCTCATGTCTGAAAGCCATGAAAGCCAATAGACAGACAGATGGTGGTGGTGAGTTCATGAGGATTTTGATATAATAAGCACATCTCGTTCAACAAAATAACGATATCCTAGATCATATTAGATGTAGAATATAACAAAAGCAATCCGGTAAAATTAAAATCACAAACTCATCCATTTATACATTAAACGAAGAACTTGAACAAAACTCGTCAAATTCTCACATTCTCAAAAAATAAATAAGAAAAAAATTACAGAACTCTCAAGTGAAAAACGGAACTTTAAGAAAAATAATAGAACATCGACGAATGACTCGCAATTGTCTACCTTCTTGCAACGAACTTTGGCTAGCGAATCTTCTAAGTTGAGTCCATAAAATTGCTTCCTTCTCCTTTGGTTGAGGATGTGATAAGTGGCAATGGCGTGACCAGAAAATGTGGAGTATTTTTAATTAGGGTTTAGGAATTAAAAAAAGTAAAAAAAAAATAAATAAATAAATTGGACCACCTAATGGCAAATATGGCAATACATGAAATTAAGTGCGATGTGTCGAAAAGAGAAGCTAGTTGGAGAATAAAAGATTAAAGAAAGCTACAGTGTTTGAACTGCTTCTTATTAAATAAGAGACTTAGGGCATGCTTGTTTATAAATTATTTCATTTTCATTCAATTCATACTAAAAAACGAACTCAACTTTAACTCAATTCCACTATCTTTAATATTATTCATATAATTAAATTATACAAACCAATCATTCTTACACATCACATCAATTTTAATTCACTATTCATCCACTCACATAATTTTAACTACTTATCATTTTCAATCATTTATCTCCTACTTTTACATCAAATCAATTTTAATCATTTTATTTTAAATATTATTTTAATACATTCTTAAAATTCCACTAACAACTAACCATACAACATTTTTTAAAATTAACTATGGTTAACCAAAATAACTCATTTTGAACAAATTATTCCATGAACAAGCGTCACCTTAGATATTGTCTATTGTTTCGCAAAAACAATAAATACTATATAAATCTATACTTATATTAAAGGGGTACTATTTACCAAATTAAGTAGCCAGAAAAGTCAACAGCATTTATTGCATTACTATTTCCGTATTATATTATATAAAAGGATATTCTATTTACTACATTTACTATCCAGAAAAGTCAACTGCATTAAATGTCATAACTATTTTAGTATTATAATATTTTATTTATTTAATTAATTTATTTATTTGTTTTATTTTAAAAAGGTAAGTATAATAAAAAAATTTTAATAGTATAAAAATTAAATACCAAATAAAAATGTACACTTTGACTTATTTGATTATATTTGGTAATTGATTATACCAAATATATTCCTATTTCGTATATACATTAAATACTTACTAAAATATTTATTTGTTTAATTTGTCAAAATTAAGTATAGATTTGTTTATATTATCAAATCATAAAAAAATATTAAATCCATATTGTGGAAAAAAAAGTTCATATAATTTTATAACAATTCTACTAAACTATTTAACAATATTTTTTTTTATTATATAGTAAAATAATAATTAAATATTATATGGTGAACAACAATAAGTAAAACTGTTACTTTCTCTTATATCAAGGGATAAATTTATATGCTAAAATTAAATTTTTATTAGTATAAATATTTTAGTGAGATAATATATTAATTATTTTACAAGCTAGCCCTAACATGCTCATATTTAATGTTTTAAAAGATGTAGAAAAAAAACTTATAATAACTCTATTGTTTTTTAGACTTAAACGTTGATTGAGAGTTTATATTTAGTAAAATTCATAATTGTAATAAAAAAATTAATTTTTGCTATATTTTAGAATATCTTTAAATTCATTATAAAAAAAAAAGAAAAAAAAACTACAATGAAAAAAGCAAGTCAGCTATATATCGATTTGTTGTACTCCTCAAATCACATTTACAATTTGGCTACAAGGAAAGGAAACTCATTGATTAAAATATTATTTTGTCATTAGTCTTAATGTACAAGAGACTTTAAAACTCCACTTGAATATTATAAAACTTTTATTGAACATTGTACAATTTCTTGCGTATTATTAACTTTTATTGAATATTGCATCTTATAATATAATATTCTCCAAATACATATATCTCGTGCTTCGCACGTACTATATATATCCCGTACATTTTTCTTTATTCATGTATATAATTATAAGACTGGATAAATAGCCTTAAAATTGTGCACCCCGTGCATCGCACGGGCTTTGTACTAGTATTCATCAAGTGTTGTCTGATTGGGTGTCTATTCCCACCCACTCACAATACTATTGCTCTTCTTCTCAACTCATCCTCTTTGCTTCTCATCATGGATGTCAGCGTGGTTTTTGGAGTCCTAGGTTTAATTTTCACATTTTCTCAACGTTGTCTTTCTCTAATTCTTATTTATTCTGATCTCATATTCTTGATTTTCATTATCTTGACTTTTGTTTCTACATTTTTGTTCCTTTGATGTAGGCAACATCGTTGCATCTCTGCTATTCCTCTCACCAGCGTGAGTAGTTCGATCTTTTGTTCTTAATTTATGTTAATTCGCAGGTTTAGCTTGGCTAGAAATAAATATTGTCTTTAGTAAAGATATAGATCTTCATTCGAGATTTTTTTGGAGCACTTAGACATGGGGAGTGTTCTTTTCTGCTCATTTCTCGAGGGAAAATTTTGGAAGTATTATTAATTTGAAATAATTATATCGTTCAATGACTAATATGGGGAATATTTTGTGTAATTGCACCCAATTATGTAAGTAGGTGTGATGTATTGATCTATTTTATTTTAAAAAAAGTTGGTAATTATTATTGTTGTATGTGTTAGAGATACTTTCTGGAGGATATTGAAAAACCGATCGACCGAAGACTTTGAAAGCATTCCATACACACTGCTGCTCTTGAATGCATCTCTATGGGTTTACTATGGAATTATGAAACCAGTTGTGCTTCTTGTGACCATCAATGGATTTGGGTCCCTCATGATGGTTATTTATCTCACCATATTTGTAACATATGCTCCTCCTAGAATGAAGGTATGTTTTATTATTATCCATTCAATTTTGTTATCTTTAACTTATCATGAAAGAATATGGAAAATTTACGACTCGAGTATGAATCAATAATGAATTTCATGAGTGTGATTATTTACAATTTCAGAATTTGAAGTTAATGTGAAAGTGGAATGAATAAAATTGTGTTGTGAAGTAGTTTTCTCGATCACAAACTATAGTGTGAAGTAGCCTAAAGTTTAAACATGTTGATTTGTCATACATTTTGAAAATATCATACTTTTATTTATGTTCTTAAATGACGACATTTTCGTATAAAAGTATGCATTTTATTAAAAATATCATTGAAAAAAAATCAGCTATATATCATCACTTTGCTTACCGAATGTAGCCAGCGTGATTATTATTTTCCTTTTTCGGAGGGAAATTTTGCAAAAATAATTATGTGTTTTCAGGTGAGGACTGTGGCTACCTTTGTGGCAATGAATGTCGGTTTTTATGCGAGTGTAATTTTGGTGACTAAGTTGACCATGAATAAGGGCGCTCAAGTTAGTACCGCTGGCACACTCTGTGTTTGCGTTACTGTTATTTCTTTTGCCTCTCCTTTGTCTGCTATGGTATGGAGAAACTTGTCTGTTAATTTCTCATTATCTTTAATTAAAGCTTAAAAAAAACAAATATTCAAACTTCTTCCTTAATTTTCATTTTCCCACTAATTTTTTTTGGTAGAAAACAGTGGTGATGACCAAGAGTGTGGAGTTCATGCCGTTCTTCCTCACTTTTTTCTATTTCCTTGTTGCTACCATATGGAGCATTTACCGGATATTACTTCGCGATACTTTCATTTTGGTAAATACATGCGACTAAACCCTTCATAAATGTTGAGATTATACGAGCCTGAGTTGAGATTTATCAATGGGGATGCAAAGTTGTAAGATTTATGATTCTAACAAAACTTTAACATGACATATGTGTTGATGTTGTTCTTTAAATGGAGGCAACTTGGAAGAGGGTGATCAACATCAACACCTCATTGTAAATTGACTGATTATTGAATTTCAGGTTATCTGTAACTAATATGATAATTTGGTCTTTTTCTTTAGTTATTATATTTACCTTTGATGCCACAACACACCTAATGTATCATTTTGAGGACTGTATGACCCTCGATGTTATAGGCTATGTATTACATATAAACTATGTATAATATAAACTATGTATAGTTTTGAGTATAATATTTTGAATGAATTGGCCATTTGTGCTATAGTGGATCTTTATTTTATTTTTCAAAGCAAGGGACTGCGGTTAATGTGAAAATTCTTGTGTTCTTTAAAAGGTTATATATGCTTCAAAATTTGAAAGGTTTTCTGACAAATTGTTGCAATAAGCTTGAAAGTTTCTTGTTGAAACGTTAAGTGAACATGTAAGCTGAGGCTGTGATGTTAGAATCCAATGTCTACGTATCACAAGATAAGTCCATTGCATACGGGCCAAAATTCTGGGCCATCATCTTTAAGACCTTGCCAGGCCAAATTTCCACTTGTATAAATAGAAACATGTCAATAAAACTCTCAATATAAACTAAATAAATCACAAAAAAGGAAGGTATATTTATGTGAATACATAGATAAATAAAGACTCAGGAAATATATGGTCCAACTGCCAACCACAAAACCATCACTTTTTAGCAACTATTGATTTTTTAGCAGTTATGGACCTAGACTACTTTTATGGAGGAATTTGCACAAAGTACGATACAATTGAATCTTTATTGTACTTATGAGAAATGCTATGGAATCAATGGTTGACTCCTTTATGGAGCCAACCACCAATAATATAGTGCCACGTAGGTAATGTGAAAAAATAATTAACTCTGCATGGCCTACGTGACACTATAACATTGGTGGTTGGCTCCATAAAGGAAACCATTGGCTCCATAGCATTTCTCTTTTATTTATACCAAAATATCATTTTATTAGTAAAATTACCATAAATCTCAATTTTACAGCAACAGATCGGGCGAGCTCCATCTCAATCCCGTTCAAACTCCTTCTTTTTTTCTGTCATCTTCCTCGGGNGAGTTCCGACCAAAGTCCACCGGACCAAGAGCGTCAATCCCAGCGTCGACGAGAACCGACCAATCATGCCGCGGCGAGTTGAACCCAAACACGTAGAGCAGACTCGCGACCAAATTATATACCTGAACCACCGGCGATCAAGCTTCAGTTTCTGGAGACCTTCGTAAGCCTCAATCTCTGACGTCGAGCCACGATCTCCGAGACCTGACCTCCGAGTCACCAGATGCAGACCTATGGGGCTGCATTTTTTTTTCATTGGAGTTGATTTGTACTCGCGATTTGTTGCCTATTACGATATTTTTTGGGATTTTGAGATATTTATCGAAGTGTATTGTTACGAGGACAACTTTTTCTCCATCAATTTGAAAGACCTGTGTAGTATAGTAGAAGTTAAATCGGCAGAAGTAAATATCTTTTGTATGTATATAATAACAACATTGATTTATTTCCTGTATACAATGAGTATATTTTCTGTATATGTTCCAGACAAATATATTATTTTTTATTGTGTATATTATGTATATTGTGTATATGTTCGATCATTTTTCTGTATATTTTATATGGACTGATTTTCGTATATATTGAATATTGTGTACATGTTCGATCGTTGTATATTTTTTGGACTTATATGTTTTCTGTATATCTTGTGTATATTTTTTGTATGTATTATTTATAAGCGCAGAATATATTATGTATAAACGCAGACTTGTATGTTTTCTATATATCTTGTGTATATGTTATGTATATATTATGTATAAATGCTATATATACCGATTTGAGATGACGGATTTTTTCAAAATTCGATCTTTTTCCTTGTTTTTCAAAAAAAAAAAAAAAAATATATCGTGTATATAGCAGCAAGATTCTGATTTGTTTTTACTTCTCTTTTGTTCTTCAAAACAAGGAGATAATGGCGTGATTATAGGGTGTCTGTTATTTTGGTAACTCATTATTATTACTCACCCATATTAAATGCATTTATTTAGGTACATATACAAATAAAATCATTCTCATGATAGGATTGCAATTTCTTTAGTATCTTGTGGTATGTAAAAAAATTCGCCACTTTTATGGGGGACCCCAATGAGTGGGTCACCGACTAAAAACAAAAATTTAAAAAAAAAAAGAAAAAAAAAAAGAAAGGTCACAGAATTGAGGGAGCCAGGTCATATTGTGACCTTGAATCGCGACCAGTTTGGGGTGTGAAAATGGGACATTTGTCCCATTCTTATTGGACAAGTGTATTTTGTTTGTTTAAAAAAATAAAAATATTAAAATTCCTATTTTTTCATTCTCAGCAAATAGAAATCACACTTGATATATTTTGAAATAAAATTGGAATTTTTAAATAAATTAAAATAAAATAAATATTTAGGTTGAGTTGAGTTAGAGATAAAGATAAATTGAATTATAATGTTGAGTTGTGTAAGTGAATGAGAGAGAAATAATATTTAATTGTTAGGTTGAGTTGGATTGAGGATAAGGATAGTCTAAGCAATGGTTGCACCCATTGTCCAAGTTAAGACTATTATTTTAAATTCGATAAAGAAAAAATATGTAAAAAATTAATTATAGATTAATAATCCGTACACATAAAATTAAATATACACTATTTTCACAAATAAATTTTAAGAAAACTTTTAAGTCTGCTACGTGATTTTAAATTAATTGCAATTCTACCATATAAGTAGAAATAATTGTGTCCTAAAAGACCTTATTTATCTATATTAATGCATAAAGTCAGTTACCATATCCTTTCAACCTCTATCCTTTTTTTATGCGCTTGATTAATAGAGAGAACTGAAAACATGCATATAATAAATAACTAACTCCTTTTAATTCTTTAATTCGTGCAGCTTTTAATTACTTAATTCGTGTAATTTGTACATAATAAAAGAGGGTTTGTCCCAGAATTAATAGGGTTATTTGGGATAATCCCGAAAAGCAAACGGGCTTGTAAGGATATCTTGGTTAGTAGGTTTTATAGAGGTTTAAAAACACAAATATATGAGATACATTTTAAAGAAGAGGTTTGAGGTTTATATTTTTGAATCAGATTTGAGATTTAAAACCTTCGCAAAACAAATGGACAGAAAATAAATAAAAAATAAAGAAAATATAGTGAGAAACATTAAAGTAACAAATTTAAAGTAAAGTAAGTGAAAGATATGCTAGACCCATATAAAATAATTTATGAGGGACATTATTATTTGAGGTTTGTGATGTTGGGGGTAAGATTAAGGTTTTGGCGCGCTGAAAAATGTAAGAGAAGGTTTAAGGGATTTCGTTGTTAATGATATCCTGAATTCTAATAGACACAAAAACATGCCCACATATAAATAAAGCTAGGGAATTGGAAAAACAATACTTAAGTAATACTCAAGCTTTCTCTCTCTCCTAGCGATTTCCTCAAATCGCAAGAAAGAAGAAAACCTCATTTCAATTCCGCTGGCATCCCCCCTCATCCGGGCTCTCTGCAACGTCACAGTGTCGGCCATCATCGGTCCGTGCAGCTCGTCTCTCAAAGCGTCATCTGTCCCTCTCCAGTGTACTCGTCGTTCGACTATGTCTAGGTGAGTTTCAGGCGGGTGCCGAGAGGTGATCAAGCGACTGGCTCCAACCGTCTCCATGGAATTAGTTGGGGTTGAGGTAAGGTTATCCTCTTCCCTTTCTCCATTCTTCCCTTTTGATTAGAAGTTGGGTCGGGTGCGGTGGGTTGTGGCCTTGGTTGTTGGTTGTGTATGGTTTTCGGGTCGTGTTGGGTGTCCGTAGTCCTTGGTTTGTGTACGGGGAGAGTAGGTGCTGGCCTCCGGTCGCTTGTCCGAGGATTGTCTGCTCGGGTGAAGAATTTGGCCGTCTGATTTGTTTTTAATTAGCCGTCTCTGGAGCTGTACTCGGGTTGGGTTCCTATCCGTGTTGGTGTTCGTCTCCGAAAGTTGTGTTCGTGGCTTCGCTGATTGTTGCCGGTCAGGGGAAGAATTTATTCTAGTATTGCGTGTTGGTATTTTGGTGTTGTTGGTGCGTTGTTTGATTCTTTTCTTTAGAAGTTTGATTCTCTCTTTATAGGAGTGTATAGCTTGTTGTGTTGTAAGTGAGTTAGTGTAGCTAATTCTAGAATGCACTTTTGTGTGTAGTCCTCCCGTTAAATTCAGTTCGATGACCGCTTGACTTATTCTAGTTTATATCATTGTAATTATGTATTTTATTTATATAATCTATGGCTTACGAAAAAAGAAAAAAAAAAAAAGGTGGCCCACGGACTGCGACTAGAGAACAAAATTAGGGCTTTGCTGGTCTTGCTCGCCTCCGTCAATTTTTAAAATCTTAATTAGATAAACTTTGCTCTGCACTGCACGTGCTCCTGGGGACTCTCCCCTACCTCACACCATTCCCAGCCCACGTACTTCAATGCCACCACTCTCCATTTCCATCAGTACACCTTTTACCCCTCCTCTCATTGTTATGCCATTATCTTGCAGCCTCTTTGTAGCTTTTAAGAATTTTACCACAGACAAGAAGAAAATCAGAGCCCCAGCTACAATTACCCATTTTCTTTTTCGTTTTCCTTTTCCTTTTTTGGCCCTTTTCAACTTTTTTTGGCCCTTTTCAATCTGGGTCGTGAAAACTCTGCGTAAAGTTGAAATCTTTATCTAGGGGTTATTCACACTCCCTCCAACCTCGCGTTTCATCAATGGTGATGGAGGTGGTGCACGAGGACGACGCCGGAGACGGCGGCATGTACTGCGCGAACCACCCTTTCAAGAACAGCGCCGTCCCAGGCGGCATCTGCGCATTCTGCCTCCAAGAGAAGCTCGGGAAGCTCGTCTCCTCTTCTTTGCCCATGGCCGTCTTCCCTTCTTCCTCCTCCTCCTCCTCTTCCCCTTCCTTCAGATCCGAGTTCGACACCGGCAGCGCCACCTCCGCCGGCGCCGTCGCAGGCGGCCTCCGCCACCTCGCCTCCTCAACCCAGACCAGCGCCAGCAACAATGAGATCTGCTATTATCCCCGGAGATCGTCAAGACTGCCCTTTGTCCTGACGCACAGGAAAAACAAAAAGAAAAACAAAAATAAAGACATGAATCTGGCCAATGGGAGCTCAGAAAATTCTAGCATCGTCTTCAAGAGGAGCAAATCTACCGTGACGCCGAGAAGAGGAACGCATTTCTTGGACGAGAGCTTTGACAGTCCAAACAAAAGAGGTTTTTGGTCATTTTTCCACTCTTCCAAAAGTTCTAACGCCAGAAAAAGGGATAAACACTTTAAAGATTCGAGCTTTACGCTTAATGGTGTTGTGGGGTCATCCTCTGTGACCGGTGCAGCTGGTCCAAGTAGGCCAAGAGAGGATTTTGTGGTTGTTGAAGAGAATGACGTAAGCCCGGACGCGGGTTTGGCCCGGAAGGTGTCTAGATCCAGATCTGTTGGGTGTGGGAGCAGGAGTTTTTCCGGTGACTTTTTTGAGAGGATCTCGACTGGCTTTGGCGATTGTACCCTGAGGAGAGTGGAGAGTCAACGGGAGGGAAAGTCAAAGGTACAACCTTCGGTGCAGAGGAATGGTGATTGTATCAAGGAGAGGGTTAGGTGTGGTGGTATTTTTAGTGGCTTCATGATCACTTCATCTTCCTCCTCTTCATCATCTCTGGTTTCTGAGGATAATAATAATAATAATAATAATAATAATAATAATAATAATAATAATAATAATGGAAAATCAATTTCAGTGGGTAATTCAATGTCTCATGGGAGAAGCAAAAGCTGGGGATGGGCACTTGCAAGCCCAATGAGAGTTTTTTCTAGTAAGCCATCATCTTCTATGAAAAGGGATTCTGCAAAACAGGTGACTCCTAATTTGGCTGCAATTCCTTCTTTGTTAGCTGTGGGTGGCTGAAATTTGGATAAAAAATGTTGGGCTTGAAATCTGCTAATTAAATTTGGTGATGATGTTATTATATTTTCTTTTTCTTTGATTTGGTGTTTTCTGTTACTATTGCTCTGTTCAGCTGTTGGGACATTGTTGGTTAAGTTACTTTGCCTCTTTTGAGGTTAGTGTTGAGTTTTGCTTTGTTGTAGTCTTGAGTTTGTTCTGTGAGCTTAATGAGGATCTGGATTGTATTGAATTATTTGCCTCTTTTCTTTTGTATATCAAATGTGAGATGGGTATGAGATTTGATAGGAGAGTGAATGGCCCCATGTGGAGGAATTTTTCATTGTTATTTGATCTGTCTCTGCATGTGTTGCTACTGTGTGGAATTGGCATTAGGAACATTATTTAGTGTTGCCTCTTCATACACTGCATTGGATCTGAATTCCATTAATTTTCTCTGTTTCTTGTGCTTCTGCCCATGATTTCTGATTGCCAGTGCTTATTGTTGATACTATTTGTTTATTTATTTATGGAGCAATTCTTGGAGGTTATTATGTAACTTTATGTTAGTGAATTATGACATTTTAGTCATGAGGTTCTAATTATATTGCTCAACTCTCTTCCAAACCAGTATTCCTTTGGACTTTGGTTTCTGCCTTTTTGGTTGGTTCTATTTACAAAATTGCACATGAGATATGTTTATTCAAGAGATCTTTCTAGTCAACCTTAAATTATAGGATAAATATGTAATTTACAGAGTTTTGGTTAATAGTATGTGTACTCCTCCATATGCCCGTTGGACTTATAATTTATTTGCTAGAAAAGAGAATTTTGGACCTAATATGCAAAATGATATGATTGCCTACTTTATGCATGGGTGTTTAGTAAAACTCTACATGCAAAAGAAGATTTGGTGATGGATATTTGGGATATGAATCTACTTTGATGTCTCCATCAAGGAGAGAAAAAGCTATCATGTCTATGTGTTGTCATTTGAGATGGCCCTCAAAAATTAAATTGAAGTATAAAAAAATGTTGAATCAAATATCACTAGCAAAATGTGCAAGGATCCATTGTTTTTGTCTAATCATTGTCTCTAAATAGGCAAATAAATGGATCACTCAAAACTTTGTACGAGTCAAAGTGTGGCACATGTTTCGTAGATAACACATGCTTGAAAGGTCTTAATCCAATGAAAATTCAGGCTTATTTATTGTTGTCTTTACTTTAGCTTAGTTGTTCCAAAATGAAAAACAGTTTTTAGCTTACTTTATCAAAGTGTGGCACATTGTTGTCTCAGTTTGCCTATGGAGCCATTGGATGGCTCGACTTATGGAGTCATCCTCACTTATTCACCAATAGTGTATTGACACGTGTCCTGCAATAAATACACTTTGGACACGTGTCAATACATTAAGTGGTGGATGGCTCCATAAGAAAACCATTCGATGGCTCCATAGAATTTTTGTTGTTGTCTTTACTTTAGCTTAGCTTACCATATTCAAGGTTAAGCTTTTAGTTTTAAACACCCAAACGTCTTACTCAACTACTTCATTCAAGATTAAGTTATAGTTTCAAACACCCAAACTCTTACTCAACTATCTTGGCTTATGTTTTACAAAGATATTATTATGTTACTTGTAGCAATAAAATATAGCAGTAGAAACTATAAAATTAGATACCTATATGTATTTGTTGGAGATATTCTATTACGCTCAGTCCAAAAATTGTAAAAGTATTTTTAAAATATTTCTAGGATATTCATACAAAAAATCTAAATTAATTTTATGAACATTTTACGAAAACTTTGGCAATGTTAAAAAAAAATAAAAATAAAATAAAATTTGCTTAGTTAACAAAGATGTATTTTAATAATACATATTATCAACTTGTAACTAATTTACTTATTTTTTCCAGTCGAATATAAATATTAATGTTTTGAATATGTGAAATTGTAAAATATGTGGTAGTATTGAAAAGTTATAAAAGTTGATGTAAAAGAAAAATTTTGAGAATATCTTTTTGTGTTTGAGAATGAGTTTATCGGTTGGAAAAGAAACATTGTTCGATGTGATAATTACTGCAAAATGAATTTGAGATGACCTAAGTCCGAAAAAATTACATAAACTCTCCTCAATAGAACTCCTTCCATTCTGAAAAGTTAGTATTGTGCAACAATAATGGATACGTTTGTTTCAACTCTGCAATTGATAGCTAAATGCAAAGCTGGAGAATAAATAAGTAGCACCAATAGCATTTATATAGAGGGCCCTTGTGTTTCTGCCATATCTTAAGTGAATTATTATGAAGAATTTATTCAACAAACATGTTAATTAGTTATTTTTGACATGATTATTAGACAAGATTTGATAAAATAGAGGTCCACTCACATGCATTGTGCTCATATAGATGTGGCATTGAGCCTTCAAGTCTTTTATTAAGTTATGCAGCTCACTGTATTCTAACTTTCTATAGTCACTAAATTGACCATGTATTTGAAGATGTGGTTTAATTAATCATGACACTCGTTAGGATCCAAGGACCTTCAATGTATGTCTATTGGTATCTATTAGAATATCACTTGTGAGTTGTCCCACATCGTTTATATAGGGAAAATAGACCCACTTTCTAAGACCAATAGGCTACTCCTCTTTCCACCAATTGATTTTGAGATGGAACCCTATTTGAGCCTGCAGTTTATGTCAATCCATGGTACATTTAATTTTCAATACCGTTTTGTGTACTGAAATTTTGTAACATTTTTATTTGTTTTACTGACAGCAGCAAGAATTTGGAGACTTTTATTACCTTAATTGGTCCATATATTGTACATGAAAGACATTAAAATATTATTGAAATTCAACTTACTATTTTTTTCTACGGAATAATTCGCTAAATAAATTGTCGAACACCAGTAAGTTGTGATTTTTTTTTTACTTTTTTTTTTTTTTTTCAAATTTTAAATTATTACAAATTTTTTGTATTATTTGAACTTTACATAATTTTTAAATAGTTATGATAATTACTTATTAAAGCATGTCATCAAGTACAAAAATTCTAAAAAGTGTTGATATCACTAGGAACGATTTTTCATTTACATTTCTGTATGTACTTGATTCAATAAACTTGTTCGGTTTAAAGAGGAAATGTTAAGGACAGAAAGAAATAGAAGATCCTTATGCGCTCATATTTTTGATAGGTTTTGAAGGGCCGATTCATAAGGGATTGTGTGCAATGTTATTTTATTTACAATTTACTCATTTGAGTAATCTGAGGCATTTGAATGTTAAGAAATGGGGCTGAAATGAAAATCCTTTTGCAGCCAAATATGATTAACTCATACCCATTGTCAAAGAAATGGTTAGTGGCTAGTCAATTGGCAACCTGTTTTCTTTATTCAAAATTTTTCCTAATCAAGATCTTTAATGACTTAATACAGAATATAATAGAATTGTCAATTTACCCAATGAGGGAATAATTGAATCAGAAAGANTTTCTTTTTCTAAATGATAGAACACGGGTACTTGTTAAAAGAATTATTTTAAAAATTAAATAACAATAACAATTTTTTTTTAGCTTTTAAATAATTTTTTGAAATAATATATTATTATTTATGTTCAAACTGACATCGTCACACCGTTACACGACTTGCAATCTTATATTAGATTTATTTTTAATTTATATGAGATAACTATTTTGTAGTTAAGTTAGTTTAAATAAATTTATTTTCTTGAATTAATATTAATAGGTAATTTAATTTCAATTATAAGGATAAATAAATTATTTATTTTATTTTGTATGCATAATATAGATGTCAAATCGAAATCCATTAAGACATGATTAATTTGATATATTATATATAACGAATTGTTAATAAATAAAAAACAGTATTAACATTTAAATATATTTATAATTTAAGTTAGTAAATTTGTTATAATTTCAAAAGAAAGATTGAGAAAAAAAAATTAACCTTACAAACCACATCTACAATAGGAAATAGTATTAAAATATAATTAATGCCCTTAAAAAGGACCACAAATATCCAGTATATTTATGAATATTCTAAGACTAGGTACTTTTGGATTGAAAATAAATTAAAATTCATCCAAGCCAAACAACAAAACTTATAAGTTTGCTACATAAGATTCCGAAACGTGCGAGCCTGCCACTCCACTTAGGCTCAACACATTCAATAATAATTATATATAGCAAGATATTAAGGGTTTGCTTGGATATCAAATATTTCATTTTATACTCAATTCAACTCAAAATCTAATTTAACTTTAACTCGACCTCACTATCCTCAATATTATGAATATAATCAAATCATACAAATTAATCATTCTTACACATCACAACGATTTTAATTCACTATTTAACTACTAACATAATTTTAACTAATCATCACTTCACATTATTTATCTCCTACTTTTACATCAAATTAATTTTAATAATTATTTTTAAATATTTTTTTAATTTAAACTCAAAATTCTACTAACAACTAACCATTCCACAATTAATTAAATTAACCCTGGTGAACTAAAAATATTTATTTTGCACGAAAATTTTTGTATCCAAACACCCCCTAAGTTTTTTCCCGCCAAAACAGTGTTGCTTACTAACTAAGGATTTTTTAAAATATTTATTTACTTTGTTTTTTAACTTCTTTTTGGTAATTTTTTCTTTACTATCTCCGTTGAGGATTTTATTTTTATTTTAAACAATGTGATATCAATAATTGAACTAAATTTATTGATTAACTTTCTAAAAAATTTCAATCAATTATTTATTTCTATCTAATCTATTTTTATAGTTATTTTTTAGTGATGTGATATCAATAATTTCATATTAACCTTTTAAAAAATTTACAATTAATTATTGAGTTTCAACCTAATCTAAAATTTTATTTGTTGATTTGAAAATATAAATTAAAGAATATGGTTATAGATTAATCACTTCAAAATAATTATTTGTAAATTAAAAAATATATAAAAAGTTAAAATCATTCCTGAGACGCACAGATG